CATTTGGAGACGAGGGTGTAGTGTTGAAGGCTATCTTGGATTCAGGTAGTGGAATTTCGTTAGTTAAGTCAAAGCATGTACCCATGAACGTTAGAGAAGCTTATGTATCGAATAATACCTTTACAGGGATAAATAACTCTAAGTTGCAGATTTTAGGCATTTATTGCAATGACGTCAAGGTAAATGATATCCATATACCGATCAAATTTCATGTAGTGAATGACGACATAATGGAATGTGATTGCTTGCTAGGTCGTGATTTTATTTCACATGAACAAATTACTGTCACGTTTAGGGCCAATGGTGTCATTATAACAGAAAACAACTTGCCTGAAAGTCAATTAATGCTAATCGATGTAGGGAACGATGCTGACTTTAAATTGGATATTGGTGAAGTTGATTGTCAAGGTAAGATAGAGTTAGAAAATGTATTTCAAGAAAAATATGTAAATGCAGTTAGGCCAGATACCCCTAAGGTTGATTTTGTGGCAGACATTAGGTTGGAAGATAATCACTCCAAGTTTTATTACAAGCCACGTAGGTTGGCTTATAGTGATAAATTAGAGGTGCAAAAACTGATTGCCGATTTGTTGAGTCGCAACATAATTAGGCAAAGTTCATCACCATATTCATCACCGATTGTTTTAGTTAACAAGAAAAATGGATCTAAGAGGTTGTGTGTTGATTTTAGGGATTTAAATAAAATTACTGTTAAAGATAGGTTTCCTTTACCACTGATCGAGGATCAATTAGATAGTTTAAGTGGAAAAAGTTGTTTTAGCAAGTTAGATCTTAAGGATGCATTTTTTAATATTAAGTTAGATGCAGATGCTTCGAAATTTACTTCTTTTGTGACATCACAGGGACAGTATGAATTCCTGAGGTTACCTTTTGGGTTTTGCAATAGCCCTTCGATTTTTGCAAGATTTATAGCTGAAGTTTTTCGTAGTTTGATTGATTCAGGTAAAGTTTTGGTTTACCTGGATGATTTAATGGTAGCTACTGAAACTGTAAAAGAAAATATTGAAATTTTAGAAGAAGTATTTACTGTATTAGTAGATAATTTGTTAGAATTGAGGATACAAAAGTGTAGTTTTTTGAAAAGTGAGTTAGAGTATCTAGGGTATGTGATAAATGGAAAAGGCATCCAACCCAATGTCGAAAATGTGAAAGCCGTAATTAACTTTCCCATACCACAGAACGTGAAGCAGGTGCAAAGCTTTATAGGGCTGACTAGTTATTTTAGACGGTTTGTTGCCAATTTCTCAATCATTGCTAAACCATTGTATGATTTAACAAAAAAAGAAGCTGTTTTTAAGTTTGGGAAGGAGGAAATTGATGTAATGGATGTGCTAAAGCAATCGTTGATTAGTGCTCCTGTTTTAGCTATATATTCGCCTGGTAGGGAAACAGAATTACATTGTGATGCTTGCACGCAGGGTTTTGGGGCTGTTTTAATGCAGAGACAACCGGACAATCTTTTTCATCCTGTTAGCTTTTTTAGCAAAAGAACAACGAATTGTGAGTCACGTTATCATAGCTATGAGCTAGAGTGCCTAGCGATTGTTTATGCCGTTAAAAGATTTGAAATTTATTTAAAGGGTGCGAAATTTAAAATAGTTACAGATTGTAATAGTATTAAACTTACATTCGCGAAGAAGGAGGTTGTGCCACGCATTATGCGATGGGTACTTCTTTTGGAGAACTTCGATTATCAATTAGAACATAGAGCAGGGACTCGTATGAAACATGTCGATGCTCTCAGTCGTGTTTATTCTGTTTTAGTGATTGAGGATAATACGTTAGAGCAAAATTTAGCCTATAAGCAAAATGGCGATTTGGAAATTCGGGAAATTGTAGCGAAGTTGGAAAAGCAAGAAAGTCAATTTTATGAATTAAAGAATGGGTTAGTGTACCGCAAGTTGGGTGATAAATTGTTGTTTTATGTACCACGAGTGATGCAATATCAAATCTTGTTTAAGTACCATGATGAAATGGGTCACCAGGGGGTAGAAAAAACAGCTGATTTAATATTAATGACTTACTGGTTCCCAAAACTCAGGGAAAAGGTTAGGGAGCATATAAGTAATTGCTTAAAGTGTATAGTTTACAATCCTGTTAGTGGGAAGAAAGAGGGGGAACTTCACCCAATACCTAAAGGTAATGTTCCATTTGATACTGTGCATGTGGACCACATTGGCCCACTTGAGAAAACTAGTAAAGGCAAAAAACATATTTTAGTTGTAATTGATGGTTTCACTAAATTTACTAAACTGTATCCGTGCAAATCAGTAGATGCAAATGAGACTCTGAAGCATTTGGAAAATTATTTTCATAGTTATAGTTTTCCGAAGAGGTTAATTTCTGATAGGGGTGCCGCATTCACGTCGTTAGCTTTTAATGAGTACATTGAAAGTGTTCATGTTCAACATATTAAGATAGCTGCAGGTATGCCGCGTGCTAATGGGCAGGTAGAACGGGTTAATAGAGTATTAGCACCGCTGTTGGCAAAACTTTGTAACGATTCAGATCGTTGGGATGAGGTAGTGAATGTTGCGGAATATGCATTAAATAATACTGTGCATAAGAGTACTGGCAATACGCCTAGCAAATTGTTATTTGGTATAAATCAGAGAGGGCCAGCAATTGATTTAGTAAGAGATTTTTTAGAAAATGAAGGTGAACGGAATTTAGATGATGATCGGCTAAAGGCCGCAGAAAGAATTGTTAAATTTCAGGAGTATAGTCAAAATTATTTTAATGGGACTCATAAGTCACCACGGAAATATTCGGTAGGTGATTACGTAGTGATTACTAACACGGTAACCACGCCTGGGTATAATAAGAAACTTCTGCCAAAATTTAAGGGACCCTATATTGTATCAAAGCTGTTAGATAATGATAGGTATGTTGTAAAAGATGTCGACGGATTCCAGTTAACTCAAATCCCATTTGAGGGCATCGTAGAATCATCTCGAATGAAACCTTGGTCCGAAAACAATCCTTCCACATCTTAAATAAGTAGTGTTTTAGTCCTAAGTTTTTCTTGTATTATTTTTAGTTATGATCGAGGCGATCATATTTCAGGAATGGCCGAGTTGTAAGAGATGTTTGTTGGCAACAACGCTTTGTTTAATTTCATGTAAAAGTGACAACACTGTTTTGTAAATGTTATGAAGTTAAGTTCAGTCGAATGAAAAATAAGATGGCGTCTATGACATTGTTCGAAAAAGATGTAATGTTCTGAATGGTTTCATTTAATAAAGAAGTTAGGTATTTTGTGAGTGTTTGTTAGAGGAGAGATAACA